CGCAGCAGCAGCTGCTGCTGCTGCTGTAGCCGCTGCAGCACAGCGGCTTCCGCTCCGCAAATGCCCCCGCCTGCTGCCTTTGCTGCCTGCTGCTGCTGCTCCTGCTGCTGCTGCTGCTGCTGGTAGCGCTGGTCTATTCGCTCAAACTCATCTCGGGTGTACAGACAGCTGCTAATGCATGCAGCAGCCAGAAGCAGGTCTCCTTCTTCAAGCGCAGCATCAGCCCTTGCTGCAGCAGCAGCACAAGAAGAAGAAGCAGCAACAACAGAAGCAAAAGCAGCAGCAACAGAAGCAAAAGCAGCAGAGGCGCGTTATAGGGAAGCAGAAAGCCCATGAGACACGCAGGCAGCAGCAGTCGAAGAGGCAGCAGCAGCAGCAGCAAAGACAGCAGCAGCAGCAAAGGCAGCAGCAGCACGTTGCGTACTTTGTTGCGTATGAATTGCGTTTATGTGCTTCGCTATGTCTGCTGCCTGCTGCAGCAGCTGCTGCTGCTGCTGCAGCTGCTGAATAGGCCGGCTGATGGCCCCTGCTGTCTCTGCTGCTGCCCGCAATTGCTGCTCCACTGCAGCCACAGTGCCTTCGGCTTGCTGCTGTAGCTGCTGCAGGTCTGGCAGCAGCTGCTGCTTTATGTGCTGCTGCTGCTGCCGCCTTTTGCTGCTCAGCAGCAGCTGCTGCAGCAACTCGTCGCATAGCAGAACGTGTTGCTGCAGCTGCTGTTCATCATCAAGGAGAAACGCTACAACGGGGTCTGCTGCAGCCGCTGCTTCCTCTGCAGGTGCAGTTGCTGCTGCTGGCTCTGCTGCCGTCGCTGCTGCTGTGCTGCTGCTGCTGCAGCTCGAGACAGCGGGGCCAAAGGTTGCTGAGGTTTCAGCCATTCCTTCGTCGCCCGCTGCTAGAGCAGCACTGGCTGCTGCTGCTCTTGCTGCTGTTGATGGGGCTGCTTCAACGGTTGCTGCTGCTGCGGCTGGCATTTTACTGCAGTTTGTCTGCTGCAGTCGGCTGCAGCAGCTGCATGCAGGCTCACGGCAGCAGCAGCTCAGCAGCAACTGCTGCTGCTGCTGCTGTTAATCCTTAACTGTCTATTGAGAGCAAAAAAAGCCAATTCACTCATAAATCACTAGCAGCAACTCCGTGTGTAATGTGTCTGCTGCTGCTACTGCTGCTGTTGCCAGGGGGCCCCTCAGGGTACAGAGCAGCCAGCGGGGGGGCCCCCGGGCGGCTTCCACACTGCAGCAGCAACAGCAGCAGCAGCAAATAAATTTTCTGTTTTTTGGCAACTGATTTTCGTTTATCTGCAGAGAAGCCACTGGGCTTCCTGGACAGAGGACGCCAGACGCAGCAGCAACAGCAGCAGCAGCAGCACCAGCAGAGGGCTGCTGGAGCTCACCCTTGTAGCGTTTGGCGCCCGAAGAAAAAAGCAGCAAAGCAGCAGCAGCAGCAGACAAGTGGAGCTGCTGCTTCTCTCTAGCAGCAGCAGCTGAGGGGCTTAGCATTTGCAGCTTAAGAAGTTATTTCAGTGTATTTGCTGATTTGTATTTATATAAATAAGACCAGAAACACTACTGGCTTTTTTGTGCT